TTATTTTTGGTTTAATACTATAAATTTTATAAAGATAATAATTAAGTATTCTGTTAGAATTTAATGATTATACTAATTATATTTTAGATTTTTTATATTTAAAATGAGATGTTTATCATGTATTTGATTGTGTTTATCTGCAGTTAGTTACACGAATTTAGATATGAGATGAAATCGGATAAGAATGAAATCGTTTAGGGATGAACGTGTTTAAGAGTTTTTAAGAGTTTTAAGAATTTTTAAGAGTTTTAAGAGTTTTAGCCAAATGTTTTATAAGATAGTATAGATAATATAGTAGAAGCTATTAAAGTTGAATTTAGTGTTTTTTTAGGATTTTATATTTTAAAATTTTAGAGAAGATGTTGAACATTTATAATTGTTATATTTAATAATTTAACTTTTATAAAAATGTCATTCTTTGGAGGGGGAGTGGACGGGGAATATCCTAAATATATTCTTTCGCTTTTGAACAAATATTTCATATATCGGAAAAATAAAAGATCCGTCAACGTTTAGGGTTGATCATATTGTTATTAAATTTTTGCAAGCATTGCAATTATAATGTCATATTTTTTTAATTATGTATATAGGATTAGGTTTAGGGAAAAGCCAAAAAAAATGAAAAACTAAGGAACACTCTGGTAATCGTTCATCTATACGGTATGCACATGTACATACAAGTCATTTCTAAGCAATTTATCATGTATGTGCATGTGAAATACATGCACATGCGCATAAAAAAAACAAGAAACAACTTCAATTAATTATATGTACATGTGCATACCGTTCAGATGAATGGTTACTTGAGTGATTCTTTATCTTGTTGTATGACGTGCATGACTTGTTTTACGAATATAAATCAGCTAAAGAAAAGGTAAAAGGAGAAAATATGTACATACTATTATTAAAACTAAATAATGTCAAGTTATTAATAATGGTTAAATCTGATTACAGTTTGTTGCATTGTACCAACAAAATTATATGACTAAAAACAACTGAAGTTGTATAACAAAACAAGACTAGATCTAATATATAATTGGGTTTTCTTCTTTCTCTTGGCACAAAAGATCATGTTTTTTCTTAAGATATATATCGCTGTCACTAAAAAACACAAAGTATTTATGACTGTTTTGCTTAAACATTTTTAAGGCGTACTACATAAAATAATGGCATCACAAATACGAACTTATATTTACATATAAACTCACATTCTGTTGTTGAAAACTTTCATAAAAACAGTAACGCATTTATTGTCACCCACTTGCATGCACGCACATACATACAGTATGGATTTGTATCTCTTTAGTTGTTCTATATGGGATATGTGATTCGTTGATCTGACACAATACAGAGGTCTTCGTTACGAGTATCGAACTTGACTGAACTGAGCTTTCATCCTTCTTTAAACTAATCGACGTTGTGGCTTGTGTTTCAACGTATAGTACAAAATCGGCCTTAAATCGTCAACTTATCCAACGATTACATGCTTAAATCACAATTCTATTTTCTAATCCATCAAAACAGCGTACTTTCCCTTCATTACTCAACTTAATGGCCTTAAACACCATTCCTTAATGGCATATGCTAGTAAGCCAACGTAAAATACGATTTCTATATCAAAATCGCACTTGAAACTTGTTGATTTCTGTTGATACACTACTGCTTGTGCTTCATTTTTGCTTCAAGAATAAACTTGTTTTTAAGCATTTATAATCCATTATTCACTTAAAAAACAAAAACCGAACCATAGCAATTGGATGAGCTTTTAGTAACTGGTCACAGTTTCAGACTCACTTGCCCACTTGTAATAACGTCTACAATTAAATATTAAACGTTGATTGTTATTCGAAAAGTCTCTAGAATATTCAAGCTGCAATGCACAGATAACGATGACAATATATTTAATAAAAATCGTTTGTGACGGTAACCATTATTTCATATTTGATTTCCAAGACATTTGTATGGTGTAATGATATGTAACATAAAGAAACAATATTTTCATCAGAGGACCGATGTTTTTTTCTCAAATCATGATATTTTATTCGTGTACCTTGAACTCAACATCTCGTTACTAGGGATTTACGTCTTACAGACATATTATAATGAAAAGCGTTGCTATCATCAACAACTTTATAAGATTTTTATAGTTAATTGTCAATTACAGAACAATCATATAACATTGTTGTTCTAGATATGATAAATAATGCAACGCAAAATTTCTTTACCTTCACTGAATATAAACCCTTTTCTCTATCAATAAAATAATCACATCAAACATGACGTAACAGTTTCCGATATAAAAAAAATGATAAACCATGTTTAAGTCAAAACTTTGCCCATTGACATGGACAAACCATCTTTATCAAAAACATGTTTGACTTGACAAATATATGATAACGTCTACTCAAATGTAACCATCAGATCTCCCATTAGAGGTGCACAAGTGGTCTGAAACTTGAAATCTACACCAGTTACAAGAGAATGAAGAGATTCCATATCGGTTACTAAATGTACGATAGGTTATCACTTATCACCAATTATGATTCTTTGAAGTTAGACCGATTAAAGACCTACAAGATGGATTACTATTTTTTTTTTACCATTTTATATCTTACCTTGAATATATAGTGTTCGAATCTGTGATTTATTCACACAAATCAGAACTCTCAAAGACAAAAAGAATCAAGCAATCGTTTGGATCCTCCAAGCGTGATTTCTTGTATTTTAATGATTAGCAAATACAAATATTTGATTGGAATAAGTAAAGCATATTTAAAATAACTTATGTAAAAGAAGTCGATACATAAAAGCATAAAAAAGTTTAAAAGTTAAATCCAGTCTTAGAGACTCGACCTTAAGAACTGTCAATGAGACCAGTCATAACCGGTTACGACAACTACCACCTTGTTCAAGAAGGATCGGTTAAGGATCAAGACCGGTCACATAACTTACGGTTAAGCACGGATTGTGGAAGGACATACAAGGTCCGGACCCAGGTAGGGCCGGTTAGGCTTTTGCCTCTTACTCGAAACCCATGGACCCACTAGACTTTTAGGCCCATTAATGAGCCTATCACGGTATCACCTCTTTTTGACGTTTTTAGTTGGCCCATTAAGTCCATCTAAGGCCAAGAGATATGCGACCCATGTTGGTGAAAATTATTCGCACCTATGCAATGCAAATATGCAACTTCAAATCATCTATTTAAAGTGTCACTTTGCAATTATTCTTTACACCAATACAATATTACATACCTTTAAAAAATGGCTGATTATGTAATAATGCAAAGGATTCCGAACAGCCTAACCTTTTGTACTATGTGCCTGTTTATTCGGCTAGCTATACACATCTGTTTGGTAGTGACTTAATAATATATAAAGTGGTTCAGTAAACTTCTAAAAGGGAACTTTATGCAAAAAACCAAGTTTTCTTGAAATCTGCTCATCCCAATTTTAAAAAAAAAAAACACACGTTTCTTTCATCTATAAAAAAACCATCTCAAAGAAAAACACTCTCAATCTATATAGACGAATTAATACATAAAGTCAACATTATTCATATAGAACTTAATAAAAAACCAACCAAACAGCAAGGTGACCATGAAAGTTAAGCAGGAAACAAATATAAGGTTATTTGGATACCTTATCTATTTGAAGTAAAAGATTTTAGATAACACGTAATAAAATGGGTATTATCCATATCACGAAACCCTTACAGTTACCGATATTCATATCCTAACCATCAAGATAACGGATAATAAAACGGGTAATGGATAAACGGCAAAATCTTGTACTAAAGCTCGCAAGTGTGATGAAATCCATACTACTTGGTAAGACCAACAAAGGGTAAGGGACGGGTGGAGAAAACATTCGTAGCCATCTATGGTGTTCGCAGATACTAAAACCAAACCTGCATAACTCGAAAGATCACAATCATTGGCTTATGATGAATGGAAAATTGGAAATGCAATTTGCTTTCATAATCACCTCAACATATTCAAACAAGAAATCATAATCATGAAAGATCCACACCAACATCCATTCGCTAAGGTTCAAATTCATCATTCCAAAAGACCCGATTTCTTAATCATGGAATAGTAGCCAAGAACCGATTCTAAGCATGAAGGATCATCACTTCTAGTACATATTCACAAACATTTTCCTGGATATGTTTCGAACAGAATTGCAAGAATCGAAATGGAACCAGAATGAACACAAATAAACTTCAATCCTAAAAGGATCATCACTTCTAGCACATTCACAAACAATTTCCACTGGTTTTAGTAATGTGAATAAAATAAAAATTCATTCAGCAATGTGCCACTGCTTTCATACATAAATGAATTCGGATCATCAAATTCAACATTGGAAGCCAACTGAAACAAAAACAGTTCGTTATTCGAATGAATCGAGCTTCAATCCCAACTCAAACCCATGATTCCAAGCTCCAAATCCCACCTAAATGTAAGAACAATCTTTAATTTGCTTCAACAAATTTCCAATCATATGACAACAAAATGCGTATAATTCAAAACCCATAACAGAAAATTCAAGAATAATAGCATCATTCAGCTATATGGTAGCAAAATCCAAGTTCTAAAATCGAGTCATCAAAACCCTAATTTTAATCGAATCCCCTTCACTTACCAGGTCTTTCAAAGAAAGGACATCCAAAAAGGAAAATAAAGAACACAAAGGAAAACAATAGGGGTTCCAAGTAATTATGTATCAAAACCTGGGCGACTTTGAAAACCAAATCATCTGCCAATTCGTTCATTAATCATCGCCTCTCCCCTTGGGTTTCCGATAATTTTCCTCATAGTGCTTGGCCATCACGACCCCCGTCTTGTAAAGCTTGTGAACGTTCGGAACGTCGTAATTCTGAGCAACGTAGATCCCGAAAGCTGTACCCAACATGAAGGTTAAGCTGCTTCTGATTATACCCATGGGGGATTTCGAATCAAGTATTCAAAATTACAGACCAAATTGAAATGGGTTGGATCTATAACTCCATGCCTATTGATTGCGATAAGGGATTTATATTGAGACTTTGGGCATAATTCTTTTGAACTTGGGGGAGGGTTAATTCAATGGCTTCTTCCCCAAGGTCGCTTGCACCGATTGGCCTAGAACGTTCGGAGCAAGATACGCCTGTCCACTCCAATTTATGTGAATGACCATATTCATCCCTAAATTTCTCTTATTTACATGTTTGGTCCTTTGACCAAGGTAGAACCGTAAGGTAGTGTTTGGTATGCAGATTGGACAGGACAGAACAGGATAGGACAGAACGGGACGGGACAAGACAAGACTAATTGTCTGTCCTATGTTTGGTACGACTAGGACATGACAGAACAAAATTATTAAAATGACCATATTATTCCTAAATGTTGTTCAATGTTATTTTATATCATATAATGACTGTAAAATGACAACAAATCAATCAAAATATTATCATTTTAACTTTAGTCCCATGTTGTTCCACCTTTTTGGTGGAACAAGAAATATCAAGATTTGTCCCATTCGAATTAAAAAAAATCTCACCTTATCTCATGTTTTTTTGTCCATGGCATGCCAAACATGGAACTATTTTTTTTGTCTCGTCATGTCCCATGTAGTCTGCATATCAAACGCACCCTAAAAGTATACACAAGATTCAAATAGACCCTCAAACTAAAAAAACGATAAAAATGGACCATTTGAACTTTGCTATCATGATTACTTACATCAAGTTTGACCAAAAATAACAAATATAACCCTAATATCATTTCAAATGAAACTACTGGAAAACTATAAAATAAAGGTCATCTTTTGTACATGGTTTCAGAGCCAAATTCAACTGACAAGAGATTAGGAGAAATGGATCGTTTCAACTTGTTGGATATATGATTAGAAAGAGGAGCAAAGTCGGGGGTAGAGGAGGAAGTGTAACACCCTTTAAGATAGGTTGTTTCAGGGGGGAACTTCTGTAAAATTTCAAAATATTTTGTAATTGTTTGTATTTTCGAGCCTTGGGTTATTATAGTTTGGCCCTGAGTAACCTAATCAAAAGAAAGTGGATTTTTTAAGGAATTTTGGACCTGGACAGTAGCCCCGTGGTAAGTCGCCTCACTCACTGGAATGTTGGCATTTTGGAAATCGACTCGTGCCGTGAAAAAGAAGTCGAGCGGCATGTGGAGGTGGCCTAAGCTGCATGGCATGAGGCCTCACTCAATGTTTTGTGTTGAACTAGTTGGGTACTCGCGCAATGTGGCAGGATGCAAAAGTTCTATCAAAGATAAATTCAATTTTTAGATACCACATAAAGTTGGAAGCGACATAATAAACTTGGTGTTGTAATCCATGAAAATGCAGATTGAAAACAACAGTAAAAGACAGATTCAACTTCTTGAATAACATCCACATCTCAAGCCAATATGTCATTCGAAACCACCGTTGTCAATTTTTAAACATCTTCATTATCGTTCAACAAATCATCGTCCACATTTGTTCCAACCATCAACCAACACTGGTGCCATTGATTTTGTTACAATTGTAGGTGAACACAATTTGGTATGTTCTCGTCAGTCTAAAGGACTGAACCACTTTGGTTTTGTGAGAATGGTGAACCACAAATCCACCAAAATCTTTCAGTTTGGCTATTCACAGTATTCAGTGATCTCAATATCAAATAGGTAGTTTGGGCTTCAATTTTGGATCCTACCTGATACATTTTAAATCTACAACCTTCCAATAAAAATAAAAGTCATCGAATCCAAATGATTGTTTTAGTATAATTCAAACTCAAATACTAATTTCATTGAACTACTATTCATGTGTATCGGACTTCAGCTTTTACATTTTAGGTTTAATTTGGACTTCACTGTAAGATTCATCTCATGATTTTTTTTATCAGCATTAATAGGGAATTTCCTTATTAGAAATATATTATACACATAAAGCAAGTATAAATAACATTATGACATCAATCTCTTAAAATTAATGGGTTGTGAGCAAAACCAAATCTTCAACAACAACAAAAACGATCATGCATGCACACTTAATGAAAGCTTGAAAAAGGAACAAATAAATATACACAATGGCAAAAAAAAATGAAGCGATGGCCATGATGAATACACACACATAAATCAACAAAATTTGACAACAAAGATATACTTCAAGAACTCTTCAAATCTTCATATGAGTTCAAGCAGCTTCATTTAAACATTAAAGAAAGCTCTTACACTTAAACATTTGGCATTTGGTATTATCATGCATTTGGCATCTATTAAATGAAAGTTCTTACATTTAAACATTAAATAAATTAATAAAATTAAAAAAAATCAACAATTCATAAATATAGCCCAACTATTCGAGCAATTGTTAGTCTTTACTCTAGCTAGTCATAGCCACCAATACATCTTCACGTGGAATTCCACCAACTACAAAGGTCCAACACCTAAACACGATAAATCCAACACAAAATCAACCAATATACTCAACCATCATTTGAAGAACACATGAAACGATATATTAAATGAGAAAATGGAAAGATAATCGACATCACATCCAAATTTTTGGTTAAGTCCACCGTTCTTGGGATAGGGATTTGCCTAAATCGACTGCCAAATCATTGGATAACTATAAGTAGTATTGTAATACTCAACCGTTTACTAAATGTTTACTAGATCCTGGGGCCTTTCTGCCACCGAGAAACAATTCATGCTTGACAAAAAGAATATTAGCCCATTACCTGAATCATTCATCACGCCATAACTTGTAAGATCATCTTTTTTGAAATCCAAAAATAAAAAAGTTTGAATAAGCCTACTCGGAAAGTCTATCCCTCAAACAATCTTTGAATAAAGTCTATCCCTCAAAAAATCAAATTGTCAACCATGATCATGTGTATAAACCTAATTGAAAACAAAAATGAAATCAAGAACCTATAGCGTATAAAACCCAAATGAAAACAATACTATATGGACTTTATAGAACCCAAATGAAATCAAGAACTATAGAACCCAGATGCACATAACTTGTATGTTTTGTCTAAAAACATTTTGGATTTCCATCCTGAAATGTTTCAAGTGTGCCAACCATGCAAAGGCACATATAAATCAAGACAGTAAACCGTTGGGACAGACATTTGCACACATGACCACTTAAACTTGTTAGAAAAATGTAAGAATCATGCATAGAAACATAAGAACAAATATGAACTAGGTACATGCATTCCAATTCTCCAAAAGTGAAGTTAGATAATTTAGACAACCAACATTTTGATGATGAACAAGAGTAGTGGTTGTTGCTGAAAGTAAGTTGAAAATAGAACCATTCTTCTTTGAGAGCAGCGGCTGTGTCCAAGTACTTTTGAAATATAGGCAAAGTATGTGTCCCTCTTCTTCTGAAACACTACTATATGTGTATGTGTGTATTTCTCTCATAGTTTTCATGAGTACTCGTTCATTTGAAAAGTCAACAATTTTTAGCATAAATTTTGATGATGAACACCATACCTTCTCATCTCCAATTCTCTATAATGTAGCATCACACTCAAATCTGTTTGGTTTTCTGGAATGACTCAAAACAAAAGCGTTTTTCCCTTTCTTTCCAAGTGACAGAAGCATCATAAAGAAAGATATATGGATACTAAAAAAAATTCTAAGCTTTTTCCCACTTTTGGCAAGCGAAGAATCGAATGTTGTTTGGGCCTTTCACACAAATGCAAACAAAAAATCAAATGCTTACCTACAACTTTCGGTTGGGCGGCTTCCACACAAATGTTGTTTGATTTTGTAGAGGAGACACCCAAACCTGAAAAGAATTCTTTTCTATCACTCTACACTGTGGTACCGATTGCTATACATATATGAAACGTAGAGGCAAAGAAACGACCAATTGCAATCAAAAATATCAAATTAAACAATGGACTGACGATGGAAACCTGTAAATCGAAGCTCCTTGACTTGAAGAGATTCAGGTCCTGCAAGAGAGAAAGATTTTGACAACCACTAAATAACAGATGTACCAACAATAAAAAATTGGAAACTACAACAAAGAGAATGAATCCCCAACCTTTACTTCGTGACCCGAAAACTCACCGAATCTTCTTCTGGTGGAATAAAAAAATGTTATAAATCAGACACACCAGAAAAAGATTATTGTAATTTAAGCATAATATGTCCACATAAAACAAAAAAACTATCAGGACCAATTCAATATAGTGGAATAAGAAATAAGGGAACAAAAAAGACTCCACCTGAACATGTAATCCTTGAAATATATAGATTAAATCATGGCATATTTGTAATAAATGAAAAGTTGAACAAAAATAAACATTGATGAACATTCTAAAACGAAGGTATTTGTGGAAAAGATCATGACATATGAACACCATATAATTATGAACATATTTTTATGAACATATATGAGCACATTATTATGAATACATTTTTATGAACACCTATGAACATCATTAAATACCATAAAAGTAACTTCAACATAAAAATTACCTATTCGTCCTTCATCATTAAATCAAATATTTAAAGTAACCTCTACTAAAGAATTAATTTTATTGGTTCAATAAGTTTACAAAGTTAAGACCATATTCTTAGGTTAATAAAAGATCTTACCCCCCCTCTTTCTCTTTATGTGTGTGTGTGAGAGAGAGAAAATGAGATAATTGAAAATTAAGTTATTAATATAAAAACTTGCATAATAATTTACAAGAAATGACGAATAAATAAAGTATAAAAAAATATTTTATAATAACTAATTTATATTTTTTTATCAATATTAATTTATATATTTTATAGATTTATTAAAAGAAAATAGAATGATTAAAAAATAATAAATGAAATATTAACAGAAAAATAATGTATACCAGAATCTGAGTTCTTGTTCAAGCACATGGGTTCTAATAATAACATGTAACTGAACAAGAAGCTATGTCACACAATAAAGGTTCTTATAAAAATTTCAAGAAAACCTCAACAAATTCTCAACTGTAAATGCTCTTATAATCCATACAACGTTCAAAATATCGTTATAAAAATGATCAATTTTGAAAATTATTATAAAAGTCTTTTAATTTCCCAAATCACTTTTAATAAATAAACTGAATTTTTCATTATGAATA